CTTTCCCTAAAGTGGTATAATGCATTAGCTATGGATGAAAAGACAAACAAGTACATGTATATTCAATAATAATGTCAGCTAGATCAGGGAAGAATAGGAAATAAAACAAATTCATAACACCTCTGAGGACAGCTTTCAGTTACAGGCAGTTATCTCTCTGATTTGCCCTCATTGCAACTATTCTTTGCAACTTTAGCATATCCACCAAGCTGTCCTTTATTAATAGCTGGCCTGACCTTAATAATAGATACTCTAATCTCCAGTCTGGCTGTTCCTGCAGTTGACAGTTACATGGAGCTGAATAGATCATATGCGTATTTACTCGAGAGGGCCTAATTTCACGTTCAAACTGTCCGATAGCATTTGAGAGAGCCGCAGGTACAGAGCTCTTGCGCCTCAGTGCTTTGAAGCCCAAGCGGGTTACCTCTGTAGCTATGATGACAGTGAAACAGTCACCTTGGATTAAGGTTGCTGGCAATCTTTAAAAGCTCTTAAAGGGCTTTGGGTGTGATCAGATGCTACTTGCTTATAAATGAGAGTTAATAGAAACATTAAACGGTACAAGCCACCATGACCCATGTTTCTAGAATATTAAGCACATTTTAAAATTGTTGAAGACCATCTAGTCCTCTGCTTTCTGTAAAATATTACCTCTTCTAACCAGTCTCCTCTGGGAGCAGGTTATCTGAACTCTCCAACATTTCGCTTCCCTTTGCGCATACTGTGTACTTTTAATGTATTCCTTCGCCCCTCTCTCTCTACTGTATATTTATTGTTGATACCGTACTCCATTTCTCTTTAATTATTCCATCTGCCAGGAGAGTGTGATGCATTTTAGAAGCTGTGTGGTTTAGTTGTTTAACCTTTGAGTTTTGTAACTGAATGAGATGACATATTCTTCATTTAGTAGAACAGGCTAAGAAGAATTATATACTCCAAGTGATAAGCTTGGAACTGCTAAAGAAATACCAAAATCCAATTTTTTTCCTCTCTCTAGTCTTCTAAACATCCATTAGTCTCTTGAAGGGAACCCATAAATCCTACAAATTTAGTTTATCTGAAACCAACTCTAGCAGTTGTCCTTCCTACTAATCATGTTTTACATCCATTTTATATTTTTCAATATTCAATAAACATGTCTTGCGCTTACTGTACTTGTTAGAAAGTGTCTGCTGTGTAGGCTCTATGAGGACAGTTATTTCACATGACTGTTTGGTTAGTTTAGTAAGTATACTCGTTTATCTTTTTTATGCTTTCTTCTTTGTTTCTTCCATTTATCTAATGTGGAATTTCCTTTGTCCTTTTTGGTTTATTTCTACCACAATGTATCAAAAAGGAATTTAACATGTAAGAAATGAAAAAATTGTGATAGCTAGAAAGGAAAAAAAAAAACCTTTTGGGCTTCATTCATGAAAAGATCCTTTGCATTATGCCTTCTCAGATCTGCATTAAAAAATAATAATAGAGTGTATTATCTAGCAGTGCTGCTTTAAAGCAGTAGATAATTTACACATTAAAGTGAGATGTAGGTTTTAAAAGTAGAAGTGTAGGACTGAATTAGAGTGAAGAGTCAGAATGATATAGTCCTGTATTAAGCTGGTCTGAGTTTCCCAGGGGTTTTGTCCTTCTGGTCTGTAATGAGACTTGCTGATAACAATCCTGGCCTGCGACGAGATGGAGGTACAGCGAGATGTTGTGAATGGCACAGCGAGTAATGACACTGGGGAAACAAATGAATGTGTCTGCTAGATAAACAACATAAAAAGTTCCTGTTCATCACCAAAATCCAGGCCTCTAAAGATTAGTATTTCCTGAAGAATTCTTACTTTTACAAGATTCTTTATCCGTGCTATGGTCTTACTTTTATGGGTCCACATATTACAGGGAGGCATCTGCCATTTATCAAGAGGTTAATGACTAGTAGTTTTGTGTCCAGATACTTTGTAACCACTGAGCTGCCCGACAACAGAGGTCACCAAAAGACGGATGACTTACAAACCAGTTTAAAGATCTCCTTGCACTTTCTCTTTTTAAGAGCACCAGCAGGGCTTGGAGCCTTCTGATATTTCACCACTGGGGATATTGTCCCCTCTTTAAAATTCCTTATACTGGGAGGCTTCCATGATTTACTGGTAGTCTTCAAACAAAAAAACTTCCTAACAGAGCTTTCATTGATTGCTGCAGTTATTTATCGGCTAACTATAAAAAATCATACACTTCAGTCTCCATCAAAGCCAAAAGGAAACAGTAATTGCAATTTGCGAGTCTCCTGCAGTGGGTGAGGGAGATCAGACTAGGAAAAAGGAAGCTTACCAATTTCAGTGGCTGTCACCATGGGTCTCGGTGAGACGGGCTGATTCAGTCATACATCATCTTGTGATACAAGAATTTGCCAAGGTGAAAGGATGGGTGTAAGGCAGAAGTGGGCCCAGAAAGAGCATTAGTTCTGGGGATGACCGTCAGACAAAATCATGAATATACGAGAAGCTGAAGGTGAATGTGTTTGTAGTCATGTCTCTGTAGACACACACTCCTCTAAAGAAGAGATCTTCTCTGTATAAAGATGTAACAGCAAATAATATGACATCTTACCCTATATGTTTTGACATATCCAAGTCTCACATTAAAAAAAAAAGTCGCATAAGATGAGTGTTAGTATAATAGTATGCATTATGCGTCTCCTTCCTCTGCCAAAGGAAAGGAAGGAGGTAAGGAGTCAGCTCGATCTGCTAGGAGTTTCCCTCCCCTTTTAGCAAGGGCAGGGAGCAGTGATGTGAGATATCCCTGTAGAAGAGAAAGGAATATGAATCACAAGTTCCTAGCTTGAGACACTTTTGCACTTCCTTCAGGTACTATTGTATCTCCTGCCAGAAGAGCTATGAGGTCCCATGAAACCTCAAACAAGCTTCTCCTCTTCTTGCTGTTCCCCGCTCTGTGTTCTCTGTTTGGTATGGCGGGGACTGGTACAGGCCTCAGAAAAGATCAGCAATATCTTGAATCACAAGTGAAACATGGGGGCTTTTTCAGCTTGCGGGACTCTCAGGGCTGTTTTCCTTCCCCTTCCTGATTTAGAAACACAGACAGGTGTATATGGACTGTCGCTGTGGGACAGTGCGCAAAAAAAAGAGGGCATGGAAGAGGGGCTGGCTACCAGACTTTCTGATGGATGGGTTTGAAAGTCAGTTGTCCTTATCTCGTGTCACACAGGAGGACTGACACATGCCTGCAAACATAGAGTATTCATCAATTTACTTGTAAAAGGCCGGATTCTGCTGTTTTTGAATTGAAGGAGAGTTTTGCTTCTGATTTTGCTGAAGGCTAGATTCAGCCATTATGTATAAAGTTAATTCTATAAATGTAATTCAATATTGCCTCTTTTTGTTTTTTTTAGAATGCTTGAGGATGATCTGAAACTCAGCAGTGATGAAGATGACAATGAACAGGTAAATTACATCTGATAAAGGTTTATAGAACATATAATCTGACAGTTGTTTCATCAGTTGAATGTGGTTGCACTTTGGTTTACTGTATTTGCATCAAAACCATTTTGGGGTGCTGCAGCCTCCTTTATTGTAGATCTCGCCTGCACACAGAACCGTTTCTCAGTGTTTTCTAGTTATTCCTAAGTCCTTTTCCATGGGAGGAAACTTATTCTGAAACAAGAATGTATTTTGTCGGTTTTGCTAATTTCACTTTGTGAAGTGTTTGATTAAGCTAAACCAAAGCACAGCTTGCTTGACTTGGAATAAGAAACCAGACATGGCATTATGCAGGAATAGCTAATGTGCTCTGAGTTTCTGTCCTCCCTCATACCATATTAACTGAGGAGCTGCCTCTACTTGTTTTGCACTCAATTTCTGAAACTGATGACCTGTTTGGAACTGGGTGTAAAATGACCACATCAAACCACTGTCATGACAGCAGAGTTGGTTTTGCACCTTGCACTTTATTTGTACAATTGTATCCATGGAGATTGGGTCCTTACGTTTTGTTCCAATAAGTGAGTAAAGGGCTGGGAGCCCTTAATCAGTAATCCAGTGATTCCTGTTTGTGAGAAGTCAAAACTTCAGTATGTAGCTGTAAATCAGTTCTGGAAGTCTCTCAACCTACTTGGAACATTAATGAAGAATCATTTTCAAAGAACTGGTCATTTCAAAAAGCTGATGTCATTGTCCATCCTTTCCACTTTATAATAGATATTTATGTGTAATGCTAGGAAATGAAGCTGGTGGAATTCATATCCTCAGCTTGCTTATCAGAAATAATTTGCTACTTTGAGTTAAATTCATCTTTCATTTTACTTTATATGTGTAAGAGACTCAAATGTGTAAATGGTTGCAGCAAAGAGGAAAGTAATGCTATAACTCAGCATAAGGTCATCTGTTCAGCCTTGGAAATGTTGATCATAAGTGGATCTTTCTTTCTTATTTATTTTTAAACCACCTGAATGTTCCACTCCAACCCATCTAATCCCTGCTTTAGGGTTGTGCCAGGAAAGATTTACCTTCAAGTGTCAGTTGACCACTTAGTCATACAAGTCAGTATTTTTCAGCACCAAGAAAGCCTTTACTCTCATCTGAAGCCAAAGGATCAAAAGTCTGTACTTATGCAATGTGCTGTGGTATACTTGTGTGTGGTTTGTGTAACTAATAGATTTCCTGATTTATTGGAAACGTGCCTAAATAGGTCTAGAAAATGACACTGTGATACAGAGAGGCCCAAAAATTTTGAAGTAGTAATATATTATTGGGCAGGATTTGGTTTTGTTTCCTTACAGTAGTAGTAGTCCATTGGCTTCAGTAGAATTACTCCAGATTTACGCAATTTACCTTATTAAGATGAAATCAGACATCAGTGCCAAATGAAGTAAATGCCTGGGCTTTTGCTTGATGACCTCAAATGAAAAGCACCCACTGACTTGAATAGGTTCATCTCTGATGTTAATTTCACACAGGAAGCTACAAGTGGGTCTACACCTCACAGTGGACCACTGGTAGCTTCCAAAACAGTGCTGTTGCGGTACAGTGGGTACAAGCTCTCACCCAGAGACAACATTGTCCTGGAGAGCAGCATCCCACAGCATCTGGTTCAGGGACTTTGGCCTGAGTCCCTCTGTGATGGAGATGTACCCGAGCCGTAGGAAGCCTCAGAGGGCACCTCAGCTCCACCTGGGACTTTCCAGTAATATCATTAGCAGCATAAGGTTCAGGCAGACAAGAGAGCACAATAGGGAACATTCATGTAGTTTCCCCAATTTTTATAATACATGTATTTTATAACACATACTGCCTTTTGGCAGTGTGAGCTTCATCTTACTGTGCATAATTAGAGCTGATTCAAGCCCCCTGACCCCATAACCCCCTAAATATCTTTTTAAGAAACAGATTATGGTCTATATATTTAGGGATTCCAAACATGAACGCTTCCAATCGCATAAAAAATAAACTAACTATGTGTACAGGAGGCATGCTTAGCATCTTTCTTGAATGGCCTGCTCCTAAAGGGAGACCTTCACTTTCCCTGTGTACCACACAAATGTGTGGCTGCCTTTTATTTGCATCACAAATAGAAGATATAGACAATGTTATATGCATTATACGAAAGAATCCCAAAGCTTTTTAGGTTTCCTGCATGAATGACTGTATGTGTCTGTCCCTTCAGATTTTTGTCATGTGCTGCATCCTGTATTAGGGCCTTGCAAAGTTGAGCAGCGTGGCTCTGCTGCATCAGTCAAGCATTACACTGGCAATGCCGTCACACTTTAGCAGTTTCTGCCATACCTCTCTAAACTGAAGAGAGGGTATTGGAAATAGAAAGCAAGTTTCATCTAGCCCGCTGGCCAGATACATAAGCATCAAAAAAGCAACTGCAATGGTTTTTGACTGCAAAATGTTATTTTCCAAAGTTATATAAAATGTTAATTCATAGGAGCTGGATCAAGGCAATTGCAATATAAAAATTACAAGATACTGAATGTTCAGCTGCAGGGCCAGGGTTAGAAAAATACATTTTTTTTAACATGAAGATTTTGCAGTCAAATGGCTATTGTAATTCAGCTGTACACGTGTGCATATTCTGACAGGGAGAGAAAAGATTCAAAATCTCAGCTCAAAAAGGTTCTAACAGTTTGTGCAACATTTCTATAAGGAAACAATCTTTTTACAATCTTTCTGATTTTTTGCTACAGGCTTGCAACCAATGCCAAGCATGAGCTACCATGTACTCATTTTTAGTAATAGAAACAAAATATATAAACAGTAAGAATGTTATCTCTATCTCTTTCCTTATATTTTAAGGAAATTGAAATTCTCTGAGAAAGGTGTTGGATAGGGAGCCCTAGGAACCAAAGGCCTGCCTTTGTCCATTGAGAATAGCTAGTAGGGACCCTTCAATCTTACACAGCAGGGGCAGTAGTGACACTGATTCGTAAATGCACCTCGATCCTGACTTTCAGCAAATGTCTGTAGTATGCAGACAGAGTATATCTATCAGCCTTTCTTCTGAAACTACCAATTGTGCCGTTCGTCACGGCTGGAAGGTTGTTAAAAACTCGTCTGCAGAAAGCAAAACTCTCCTGTTGTGTTCTCTCACTCACATGAAGGAGTGTGTGTATTTCTGGTCTGTACTGCATTTAGATAGGGGTCCAGGGACCTGGACCTCATGCTCTTTCACCTGTTTATCAGCTCCATCCTCTTGTCCTCATTGCTGAGGAGAAACTCAACACATATAATTGCTCTGTTCAATCCTATAATTAAGAGGTTGAGTTCAATTTTTGGATAAGATGAGGAATTCCAGGTTGAAGTCACTGGAAGGTATTGATTCTATATACAGTATTAGCAGGACAGTTACTGAACACACTGCCCACTTTTAGCACTCGCTCTTCAGACTGGAGAATCCTTCTTAAAATGAGAGCGTTAGGTCTTTTTTGGTTTAGCCAAAAGATATTAAGAAATATGCGTGATGACAGCCTACCAACATATCACCATGAAAAGATTCCTGAGAGGAGGCAATACACTGCAATTTCACCCCGGAACAGCTTCCAGCAAGTGAGAGCTGACCAGAGATGGGAACTGCTAGTGCTAAACTGCTGCAGCTTGCATGGAAACCTTGTCGTTTCCCTCCTGTTAGATTCCAGCGCTGAGGTCTCTGGCAGTTTTGGACTTGGTGTAGAAGTTGTGGGGTGAATTTCTTTGGACTGTGACATGCAGGAGGTCCAAGAAGATTATCATTATGGGTCCCTTCTGACTTCAAATCTGCAAATCTTTGGACCATATTGATCACTGCAGTAGAGCATAAGGCAAGTGACAAGTACCTCCACCCCAGCTGAAAACACAAGTCACTGTTTTCTGGGTCTTGCTTTGAGCGACTGCAGTTATCACCTGCACCTAACACATGCAAACATGTCCTACAGTAGTATCTTCAGGCACTTTGCAGCTGGCTATATGACACGTGCTTTGTCCCTTAGACAAAATGCTGATTCTTATGTCTTTCATTGTGGGTGATTTGGGATTAAAGACACATAGAAAACGATGGCTTAGATCTGGAATCAATTTTCATTTACAGCTGAGAAGCAGTTATTGATGCTGTGCTCACAGTTCAATAAAAGATCTGAAGATATAGACCTTGTGTTTCTCTTTCAATATAAGCAGCATAATCAGTCTCAAATGTTTTTACAAAGAAAATTGTATTGACAGTTTTATTAAAATTGCTGTCTTTAAAGTTTTAAGTTATCCACAGTTTGACCTACTTGAATGGTTTTTAATATGCACACTGACCAACCCAATAGATTTTTATGTCACGTATTTATAACACCAGGTACACATCTGTTTAATGTATTATTTGAGAGGTATTGTTACATTTAATTTAAGCATCGCCTGGTTTTAAAACTTTTGTATTATTGTCACTGCAAGGAACTTTGGCATATGCATCAGTATTGCGTTCAGAGATCCTATTACACAATATTTTCAGATTGGCTACAAGAGATACAGTCAAGGCAGGTGACAGACATGTTATTAGTAAAACCATTAGATGACAAGGCATTTCAGGGATACTAATGTTAACACTCTTCTATAAGGAAGGGTGAAGCTTTTAGATGGCTTTATTACTCGATAGAAAAAAGAAATCCGAAATTAGGAAGAGCAGTCAAGATTTTTAATTAGTTAGTTCAGCTAAAAGAGCTTAGATAAAACACAGGTTGATATTTTTGTTCTTTAAAGCACCTCTGTATACTTCAAATTAGGTTTGAGCTCGAAGGCATCCAAATGAGTTATGCCCGTATACAATATTTTAAGTAGCTGTAGTGTACCCAATTTTCTTTAACCAGGTCCTCTTTGTTCTTCTGCCTAAGGAATAGTCCTGTTAACCTTTGAAATGCATACTTAATTTAAAACACATTGCTGACAATCTGTGCATTTTTGAACTGCAGAAACTTTAATACTAGTTA